TGAGGACCTAAAATTCCGAAAGGTTTTGTCAAATACTACTTAGGTAATCTATTTCTGGGAAAGAAAATCATTAGTATTGCGAAACATTCAAATTTTGTAAACTGTTAATTTCTAATCATGAAGAGTAAAGAGGACAGAAATCAAAAGAGGAGGGAGACTTATATTATATGTTCTCTAAGAGATCTTTGGAATGTTTTAGTATACCACTCATAGAGTAGTAAGAATCAAATCAACTGAAACTTATGTTTGATTGCTGATAAATTAGAAGTTAAAGAGGTATTTTATTGATTATTACATCAGTAACTAATAACGTTGTGTGTTAGGACACTAGCGTTATTTGGATAAATTTAAGGAGTGTCCCGTTTTTCATCTTTGGTTCAAATTCCAAAGTAAGATAAAACCAATGGTTTAATTTTCAAGTTTATTGTGTCATATAGTTTATTGTAGATATCTAACATGAACATAAAGAGATGTGGTATAATTGACTGTGAGACAACTTTCGATAAAAAAGGAAAAAGATACCAAAGGGACAATAAAAATCCAAGAATATCTGACAGCTCAAGACAAAAAATCGAGAAAAAAAACAACAAAAGGACAAACAGCAGTCTACAAACTTTTTAGCTTTTTGATTCAAGCGTCACTGATGAGTCTTTTAAGGACGAAACGTGTGTCTAGCGTACATAATTTTATCCCTGGTATCTATGAAGTGTTCTTTTTATACACTGCAAAGTATTAAAAAACTACAAAACACATGCACCAACAAAACAGGGGATGGTCTCCAGAATGTTAAGCTGATCAAGCAGTGGACAAAAGATAACGATGCACACAACATGTATAGGCCACAGTGAGGCATTCATTGATATAAATGGAAGCGTTTGAAAAATCCAAGTCAACTCGTATCTTTGCCAACTCATACCCAAACAACTCTTACTACATTGTTACCAATTAGTACACTATTTTATATATTTCATGTGCATTATTGATGTATTTTGTTTATATAAATACAAAATAAAATAACCATTTAATATGAAGCAATAATCATTATTTAAAAAGTTAATCGTAAGTGGTAGTTTATACAATCGTCAGTGTATACTCTTAGATGAATGAATACGGTATTATACCACTGGCTTAAGGGAGGGTTGAGCAAATGAATTCTGGGAACTCAAATAAACATTCTTCTGTAATGAAAAATATAAATATAAATATGCTAGATAAACTTACTTGAACTGTGACTAAATGATTAAAACTGTTAGCTTTCTCTGAAATATAATACACGATGGTCTTGAAGTATATATTCTAGGTACTGACGTTTTTTTTTTCATTATCTTAAATACGTGTTATAGTGTTCTTTTTATTTGTCCTTGTATATCTTTAAGCTTTACTTTTTACTCCATTTTTTGGTAAAATACTTTAGGCGTTGCTAGGTACTTACACATCCCGCCATTGTGTTATTGTGTTATGGTCAATTTTGTATTCTTGTCTTTCGGTTTTGTTATTTATACTTTGTCTATAGAGTGTCTATATATCATGTATTTTTCTTTGTTGAAATACTTATTTGTATTATATTGATGAAGATGATATTACAATGTTAACTGCTATACCCCAATTTGGAAATTTTTACCTATTATGTATCCTTGTTTTGCTCACACATTGTTGTCAATATAATGGAATTTTCAGCAACTGTCCTACAAGTGAGAGGTTTCGCTAGCTATAAAACCAGGTTTAATACACCATCTTCTACATAAGGAAATGCCTGTACCAAGTTAAGAATATGACAATAGTTTTCCATTCGTTTGATGTATTTGAGCTTCTGATTTTGACATTTGACGACAGAGCAAATATTACCTTAATCAAAAGAAAGCTTCGTTAGAGAGCAATCATTTAGCTTCAAAAGGGGGGGGGGTATGGTTTTTTTTCTGAGTCAAAACATTTTTTTTTTGGGGGGGGACGCTATCAATCAATTCATTCTTTTCAAAATTTAACACTATAAGGTATTGGGAAAATCTGGATTCAGAATATTTTTTTTTCATCTGCATGACCAGAATATTTTTTTTCATCAAGTTTGGGATCAGAATATTTTTTAGGAAATAAACATGCCCCCACCCCTTGAAGTTAAATGTTTGTTCCCTTACTTCTGTGATTATTTTTTAACAAACAAAAAACAATCCATATTTACTATCATTAAATTTTCACAAAAATATAATCATTATGCTGCACATATTTTTGGACACAAGTTATTAATGTGGAATAATATATTACCATTTCCATCTAACGTAAATGTACACAGTGTAAAGTGGTAAGGATATATGTACCACCTCTCATAACTTTAAGTACAGGAAAATACATATAAGTATGACAGCGAGTGTGTCCAACGCAATTTTGTTTATCTTTTGTATAGTCACAATAACAAAAATTGAGCTTATTCATGTTATTATGCTGCTTGTATTATAGTACTCTAGAACATTTTATATACAGGTAATTTGTGTATTCTGTGTTAAAGGGAGAAAAACCTAGGTTAAGGGTTTAACAATCTTAATATCACTGATATATTTGATGTTTTAACCATTTTATAGATGCATTTTACGCTTCTATGTCACTCAAATAATAAGAACACTACTAATAAATCGACACAGGTACTAGTAATATAAGTAATCAGATGTCTGTCCATCCCTTACTGACTTAATTCAGTTATTTTGGTAGACTAAATTTGTGTTTGTGTTTTAGAAGCCGTTTTTGCAAAATATAGTTCTTCAAAAACAAAGACAAAGCAATTGTCAATATTCATGTATTCAGGTATTACAGATACATCTAATTATGTATATATGTATGTGTATTTATGCTTCGTTGGCTCTGAAACGTTTGTTTTGAGCATTTCTGAAGATGATTCATCGAATAAAGGTCTTTGAACGCACGGTAGCTTTTTTTATTAACGAGCAAATTGAAATCCAATTTTTGAAAGTATCAAAAAATATTGAGAACCGAAAAATGTTTAGAAAATTTAAAGACATTGAACGTAACAAAATAGAAAAAAAGGTGATGGAATCCTATGTTTGAAGATTGTATTAACGCGAGTTTGTAGTGAACAAACAATTCATCTTTTATAAAATTGATCCATTGTGACACACTATTTTGTGGGATGGAATAACTCAAATGATAAATTTCAGGATTACGGTATACCAATATCAACATACACTGGCTTCTTTTTGCACCAATCTAACCACCAACATGTGAAATAACAAACAACAGTATATAAAACATAATATAGGAAACCAAAGACTGAGCAACACGAATCCCACAAAAACGAGGAGATCTCAGGTGCGTGCGAATAGTAAGGCGATCCTGTATTGCGCATTGAAATATTTTTGAATAAAAGATTCGTAGAAAAAAATAATAATATCATTATATACTTCTTATTAATCAAACTTAGTATAACACTAGAACACACCCGTGACATTGCGGGTCGGTGACTGAATTAAAGTACATATACCTTAATTTTAGCCTGGAATTTTAGTGTTCGTATTGTCATCTGAAACGTCATGCTGATTGTAAGAGTTTCATTTTTCTCAGCTTTTTAAATGAATTTTTGTACTTATTAACCAATATTAATAGTGGTATTGAAATGGGAGAAAACAGACTTGATAGTTAGTGTACTATAATGTAATATACATATAAAACAACTACTGGAGGATTTCCAAGTTCCCCTGATAGAGGAGGGATGTACAGAGCGTAATAGTTAACGGAAACAACAGTATCGGTATGGATTCGACTCGGAACTTGTTAATCACTTGTACAATTAATTATGTGGAAAACAAAAGAACCTGGAATGGTGTAATTTTTAAACAACACCATTGTCCTATATTAGTTTTTTATAAAGTTGAATTCTTTGATTCGTCGTTTTTGTCATGCCGGCTAACAAATTGGACATCGTTATTTTAGTAGTGTAGATATATCATAACTAACGTAACAATTTATTAAGAAACACCTTTTTTACCTGTGTGTTTTCGTTTGATATTAATTGCAGATCATTGGGAGTCTCTATTTAATATGTTCAATGATTTTGTAGACTATCATCATGTCCGATTTACAAATTGTTTCGAATATTCTTTATAACTGAATACCATAAGTTGACCTTTTGTGTTTCTATAAGGAGTTCTTATACAATTTCAAATGTGATTTCACATTTGTAGGAATTTTTGTGCTGAAAATGTAAGCTATCTGTAGTTGCAATATGTTTTAATGTCATCAAATGTAGATGATGGCGAAACCAATGCAACTTTTGGGTAAATGTGTTACATAAAAGCAATAAGCATTTGATCGACTATTTCAGTGTTGTTGACTTATTTGTTTATCTGGTCTTGCTGATTATTGTTCATAGTTTCCCCAAGTCACAATTTTCATCATACCAATGTCAATACGTTTCTTTCTTGAATACTAATTTGTTGTTAAAAATTCCTTATTCCGGTTTATAGTTTTCAAAATGATATCTATGCAAAAATAGATAAAATAATAGTTTGAGAGCAACTGACGATCAATTATCCGTTTTGAATGGACGATTTTCAGAATGTGTTATACATAGGGAAAACGAAACAATTTGTCCCCAATGTTCCACTTTAAGGGGTCATAGTCATGATTGCAGTAAAAATTATAAACGTCTTACAGATACCCGAAGGATGATTCAAGCTATTTTGTTGTAATTTGTATTTTGCCATAACATTTTAGACGAAGATTATATTTGGACGCCAATTGATGACAACTGTTCACCATTACTAATGCCATAAGACAAATGACGACATAGCTATAATGGTCAATATATGATGTTTTCTTCTATTCGTGAAGAATCGTTAATTAAGAATCTTATGATAAAAAGGACTTCTAATCTTCAATATTTTTGTTTTTAAACTGTCCTGTCTTCAATTTCTCTTAAATTTGTATCTGATTTGAGCGATGGCATTCTTCCAAACCTTCATGAACCTCCAACAACCAAAATGTAAACACAGAAATTGATTTATGCATGTAGATTTATTTCTTTTATAAACAATTAAAGTTTTCGTATCATCATTACTGACGTTTTGGCTATGTTGCTGCTAATTTTATACCAATACATGTTGTTGAATTTCCCGTTAAGGCCACTGTATTTACAGCTTTTATGCCACCATGGTCCCCCAGTCGTTACACACACTCCTCCAGATTCATCATTATCCTGGTCGGTCGTTGAGAACTTCATTCCATTATGGTAAGCCATGTTATCACCTTTATTAACAAAAAATAGTACAATGATAGCTCATTTAAATTAGCATTTATATTCACCTAGATAAATTAATAAAAGTTAGAATTTTTTAAAGATTTAATGTTCATATAGTAAAGAGTTTTTGTTAGTTTTCGTTTTAGTTTAACATGGCGACCATATTTGAAACAGGATATTTATAACACACAATGTATTCTAACTGAAGTGTGCTAGCAATTCTTCTTTCCAATAATGTTTTCGAATCTTCGTGATGAATTTTAGTTACATGGTTGACATTTTGAAATGACATAGGAGTCGTATAATCTATAATCCAGCGAATATCTTCATTCAATAAAAGTGAATAGTGTACACGATTTTAAGTACACACAGAAAGTTGCATTCTCCTAATGATTTATTGGCCTTTTTTTTTAATTCAAATACAAAAATGTTTGTCGTGAGTATCCTTCAAATATGAATGCTGACGTATTGTTAATTTCATGCATGCATGTTTGATGGGAAGATATTAAAAATGTTGTGAACATAGTTGAGATTACATAAAAAGTAAAATATCAAAAATACCGAGCTCCGAGGAAAATTGAAATAGGAAAATATCAAATGGCAATATCAAAAGCTCAAATACATCAAACGAGTGGATAACAAATGTCATATTCCTGACTTGGTACAGGCATTTCCTGATGTGGAAAATGGTGGATTAAACCTGGTTTTACAGCTAGCTAAATCTCTCTCTTATAAGTCATTCTCATAAAAATTATTTATATTGACAATAAAGTGTGAACAAAACAAACAGACATAGCTTACAGGTCGGTGTGAGCCTATCCTCCGTGTTGAAGGCCGTACTTTGACCTATAATGGATTACTTTTACAAATTGTGACTTGGATGGAATGTTGTCTCATTGCCACTCATACCACTTCTTCTTATATCTAAATAATAGGTAAAAATGTCAAAAATAGGGTTACAGCAGTCAACATTGTGTTTACATTTTTTTTTGTACTTGTAAACTTAATCACTATAAAACAAACAAATATGTTAACAAAGAAAAACAAAAAGGCATATAGACAAAGCAAATTAGCAAAAACGAAAGACAAGAATCCTAAAATTACCATAGCACAATAACACAATGACGGGATGTATAAGTACCGAGCCACGTCAAATGGATATTACCACAAATAGGATAAACAGTAACATGTGTTCGCTTCAGCTACTTTCTTTTCTAATTTACCAATGTTGATAACAATGAAGGTAGTATCTACATTGGCAAATTTTGCTCTAGTGTTTTACGCAACAAATAGTTTTATTCTACAGCGTACCATGTGTTTCAGACAGATAGATCATGCACACTAAAATTAGTTTCATGCTATTTTTATACTGATTTTGTATAATTCTACAGTACGGTTGATTTAATTACACCATTTGTTTCTTACCTGCATTTCCACTGTAACTCCCAATTGTCAATTTGTACTTGGACGCTGCATCGCCTATCATAAACGTTTTATACAAAGCATACTTCTTCGTATTAGAACTGTCCTTTAGATCTATTCTCAGTTCATATCTATCACTGGATGTCAGGCTGTGAATGTGTTTGTTTCCTTTAATATATATAAAAGACTAAATTTGTAGAATGCAGAAAAGAGATTAATGTTGTCACCTTTAAGTGACAACATAAATTATCCGTTCAATTAGTGTACAGACGCAATCATGATTTATTGAACATTTTCGTGACAGATGACTGTATATATATGCTTCACAACTTGTAGTCAAAATCCCTTACTGTTTTATCTACTGAGATAACACGAAATGTGAATTATCACCGCATTTTTAACTTCAAAAAGTAACACAACGGTTGTCAATAATATCTCAGCAACTTTCTGCTGCACCCGAATTTCTCCTGAGTTACTGTTTGGGGTCGCATTGTCCTATTTTAAAATGTCTGCTGACTTTGTTATGGGTTGATGTGTGTGTGCTGTTTTTGTTTTTGTGTGTTGCTTTTTTCATACAGTTGTCTGTTTTGATCAGAATTGTCGTTTGTGATATTTTCTTTGTATTTTCTCATTCTTTTGATATATACTTTTATAATCAAAGATTATGTACAGATATGAAAATGACAGCTGTGCAATGAGGCGAAGGGCAATATGTAATAGGGCCACAAAAAATTTAATGCAAACCACTAAAAAATACCAAATTAGCTATTTATAAATATTGTCACTTATATTTAGATAAGAACAACAGTTTCACCAAAAAAATACATTTTGCTTCGAGATGAACCTTACACAAACGTTGTTGTATTAAAAAATTTTTTGTGTAAGGCTGTTGTTTATATCAATTTTGTCCAAATGCTCTGTGTAATTTCTCATTCTTGGTCAAACAGGTAAATTGCAAAATATTTTTGACAGTACCGTCAAATCAGAAGTCAACTTTCCTCACTAAAATAACCTGATTATATTAGCCTTGTCATTAATCAATACAATTAGCATCATTTTGAAAGGCTTTATGAAGTTCTTATCATTTTGCAATTTCAGCAGCTAAGTAATGACTCTAATCATACATTATAATAACGATAATTGTATTTGGAACAGAACAAAGCCAAATCATATTATATCAGGTTAACAATTGTACTTTTTCTTCGTCGACCTTACATACTTTTTAATACTTCTTTTCAATTCAAATGTATTGTGGAAATTTGATAACGCATCTTTGATCATTTATCCTTTTCATTTTCTAAATCATACATTTGTGACAATCGTCCCCATCCAGCGTGTTACAATAGATTGATTTACCTAATGTGTTTGTGACATAGACGTTATGATATGATTATGCGATTAGGCCCTAACTACGGAAATACATATATTTTAACTCATTTACACTACTTACCCAACCAGTATTCACCGTTAAGATTCCCAAATCCGTACTCGTAATCTGTCCATGTTCTTTGGAAATCAACTGATCCATCTAATCGTCTTTGGATAATCTAAAAGATACATATATCAAATAGTTTACTCGATTGAATGAAAAAATCAGGTAAAACTCAAATTCTAATGCAATTATTTTGCATCAATGATTCTGATTTGATAACCATTAGCGTATTGATTTAATTTACTTGCCTTTTACTAAGGGAGGTTTACACTTGAATTCAAAATGTATTGGCATGGACTTTCTGCAAAAATAATTAACAATTTGCGCAACATTTAAAAGCGCACAAGAAGCCTAAAAACACCAAGTGTTTAAGTTGGAGTATATTATACTTAATGAATACTAAAACATATTTCGTAGTTTTTGTATGTCTTTACCTTGTGTTCGTTTTGGTTTATAGGCTCTTCATTTTGTTAAATAAACTTTGTATTTCACATATTTTGGCCTCAGCCATTTCTGAAGAGACTTGAGTTGTTGAAATAAGCATCTAATGCAGAAAATTGGTATCGTTAATGTAAAAGAAATGTAAAAGGTTGATTAGTTTCCTATAAGAAACACTTTCGGAGATTTCAGCAACGATCCGTTGAGATATTTACTCAGTTTTGTGCAATATCAACGATTTCAGAGCAATGGATATTAAATAAAAACTTCACCAGGTTCCTCGGGTTCGTAAGAAAAAGAAATATAAAACCAAATACATTACGGATTACAAAGGTGTCTAGTTAAGTGATTGGATAGTACAAAGAAAATTTAGAATATGTTTAGGAATCAACCGGAGTATATTTAGATGTTTCTTGTCCCGCTTTGAACCTGGACGGTGTAAATCATTTTGTTATTACGTAACTGAATTAACATAATTGTAAATGAATTTTAGAGTCGATCTCACAATGGGTAATCAATGACGAATAAAAATATTTCAAACTGTGTTATGAATATCTTGAAACTCACAGTCCAACCTCCAGCATCTGTTGTCATATCACAATAAACTTTGACCTCAGATTTGTCGGGATATATCTTGTAAACACCAGATTCTGATTTATATTTCTTCAGCTCAGTACAATCCTTCGTTAATTTCATTCCACAGATTCCTGAATCAATGATATTATGAAAAATTACAATAGTGTAAGTAATCAAATGGATTATTTGTCATTTCTTGGCTTTTAATAACTTGTCATGTGGTATGGGTTCTGCACATTGTTGAAGACCGTACGAAAACCTATAGTTATCTACTTCTATGTCATTTTGTTTCTTGACGAAATATGTCTTATTGGCAATCATAACACATCTTTTTCTTTCTATATGTTCTTTCCTTTTAAATCATATAATTAATCGTACTGAGGTAGCCCGTGAATTTCATTTACAATTGTTTGGATCCATTTGTGGTGATTGTTTTCGGATTAAAGATCTCACGCGAAACATTAATTACTTTCCACAGTTCTGTTATTGGTGTAAAGTAAGCACTGCGCTATTTATTTAAACCAAGTTCTAATGTAATTTCTCCCAACATATACCTTATCTTGAAGATGTATGACCGGAATAAATTATGTTTCATCTTATTCATGTTATTTAGATTTTATTCTTTACTTGCCTTTGACGTCCTGTTTTATCAATCTCAATATTCTTGAAACTTGCTTTTCTCCACGTGGTTCTAAATTAAAAATATATATCTTCTATATTATATAAGATACGTAGTATGACTGTTACCGAATTAAATTTATCATTTTCTGACTATTTATTAAAGGTTTTGCAATTTTGAAGTATTATATTAAAACTAAATAAAGGTTCAGTAAATAAATTGAAATTAAGATAAAATAAATAAAGGAATAATTGACCATATATTTTTGCGATCCAAAATCTTGAAAACTAAGTCTCCAACATTTTAAAGGTGTATTCAACAAGGATTTAATCTGTAGATTACAAAGTTTGAACATGTACTCTTCTATTTTTGTGGTCGGATATTACTTTCGTTTGCACGGGTTAAATAAGGAATGAACTGTATTGCTAGTAAAACAGAGAAACAAGAAAATAATGTCATTTTCAATTGTGTACTGGCATGTTGTAAGGTCTTATTCGTGTTGTTATTTTTATTGTTTGTAACTGCGAAATTATCCCTTAACAATACGTTTGATCCATATCATTTCCTTTCCCAGAAATACTCTTTTACTATACGCTGATTTCTCACGTCATTTAAACGTTTTATGGGCTAACTGGATCCCTGCATCTTTGAACTGATAAAGTAATTGTGACTGCTTGACATTTTTCAAACACCTGTCTTTATTCTTATGTACATAATCCAACCCTGCTTTTAGAAATATATCAATTTTATCATTTAAAAAAAGTTATCGAAGCAGTCATAAGGAAGTTGTTTTGAGCATTTCTGAAGATGATTCATCGAATAAAGGTCTTTGAACGCACGGTAGCTTTTTTTATTAACGAGCAAATTGAAATCCAATTTTTGAAAGTATCAAAAAATATTGAGAACCGAAAAATGTTTAGAAAATTTAAAGACATTGAACGTAACAAAATAGAAAAAAAGGTGATGCAATCCTATGTTTGAAGATTGTATTAACGCGAGTTTGTAGTGAACAAACAATTCATCTTTTATAAAATTGATCCATTGTGACACACTATTTTGTGGGATGGAATAACTCAAATGATAAATTTCAGGATTACGGTATACCAATATGAACATACACTGGCTTCTTTTTGCACCAATCTAACCACCAACATGTGAAATAACAAACAACAGTATATAAAACATAATATAGGAAACCAAAGACTGAGCAACACGAATCCCACTAAAACGAGGAGATCTCAGGTGCGTGCGAATAGTAAGGCGATCCTGTATTGCGCATTGAAATATTTTTGAATAAAAGATTCGTAGAAAAAAATAATAATATCATTATATACTTCTTATTAATCAAACTTAGTATAACACTAGAACACACCCGTGACATTGCGGGTCGGTGACTGAATTAAAGTACATATACCTTAATTTTAGCCTGGAATTTTAGTGTTCGTATTGTCATCTGAAACGTCATGCTGATTGTAAGAGTTTCATTTTTCTCAGCTTTTTAAATGAATTTTTGTACTTATTAACCAATAGTCGTATTGAAATGGGAGAAAACAGACTTGATAGTTAGTGTACTATAATGTAATATACATATAAAACAACTACTGGAGGATTTCAAAGTTCACCTGATAGAGGAGGGATGTACAAAGCGTAATAGTTAACGGAAACAACAGTATCGGTATGGATTCGACCCGGAACTTGTTAATCACTTGTACAATTAATTATGTGGAAAACAAAAGAACCTGGAATGGTGTAATTTTTAAACAACACCATTGTCCTATATTAGTTCTTTATAAAGTTGAATTCTTTGATTCGTCGTTTTTGTCATGCCGGCTAACAAATTGGACATCGTTATTTTAGTAGTGTAGATATATCATAACTAACGTAACAATTTATTAAGAAACACCTTTTTTACCTGTGTGTTTTCGTTTGATATTAATTGCAGATCATTGGGAGTCTCTATTTAATATGTTCAATGATTTTGTAGACTATCATCATGTCCGATTTACAAATTGTTTCGAATATTCTTTATAACTGAATACCATAAGTTGACCTTTTGTGTTTCTATAAGGAGTTCTTATACAATTTCAAATGTGATTTCACATTTGTAGGAATTTTTGTGCTGAAAATGTAAGCTATCTGTAGTTGCAATATGTTTTAATGTCATCAAATGTAGATGATGGCGAAACCAATGCAACTTTTGGGTAAATGTGTTACATAAAAGCAATAAGCATTTGATCGACTATTTCAGTGTTGTTGACTTATTTGTTTATCTGGTCTTGCTGATTATTGTTCATAGTTTCCCCAAGTCACAATTTTCATCATACCAATGTTAATACGTTTCTTTCTTGAATACTAATTTGTTGTTAAAAATTCCTTATTCCGGTTTATAGTTTTCAAAATGATATCTATGCAAAAATAGATAAAATAATAGTTTGAGAGCAACTGACGATCAATTGTCCGTTTTGAAGGGACGATTTTTCAGAATATGTGAAAACGAAATAATTTGTCCCCAATGTTCCACTTTAAGGGGTCATAGTCATGATTGCAGTAAAAATTATAAACGTCTTACAGATACCCGAAGGATGATTCAAGCTATTTTCTTGTAATTTGTATTTTGCCATAACATTTTAGACGAAGATTATATTTGGACGCCAATTGATGACAACTGTTCACCATTACTAATGCCATAAGACAAATGACGACATAGCTATAATGGTCAATATGTTGATGTTTTCTTCTATTCGTGAAGAATCGTTAATTAAGAATCTTATGATAAAAAGGACTTCTAATCTTCAATATTTTTGTTTTTAAACTGTCCTGTCATCAATTTCTCTTAAATTTGTATCTGATTTGAGCGATGGCATTCTTCCAAACCTTCATGAACCTCCAACAACCAAAATGTAAACACAGAAATTGATTTATGCATGTAGATTTATTTCTTTTATAAACAATTAAAGTTTTCGTATCATCATTACTGACGTTTTGGCTATGTTGCTGCTAATTTTATACCAATACATGTTGTTGAATTTCCCGTTAAGGCCACTGTATTTACAGCTTTTATGCCACCATGGTCCCCCAGTCGTTACACACACTCCTCCAGATTCATCATTATCCTGGTCGGTCGTTGAGAACTTCATTCCATTATGGTAAGCCATGTTATCACCTTTATTAACAAAAAATAGTACAATGATAGCTCATTTAAATTAGCATTTATATTCACCTAGATAAATTAATAAAAGATAGAATTTTTTAAAGGTTTAATGTTCATATAGTAAAGAGTTTTTGTTAGTTTTCGTTTTAGTTTAACATGGCGACCATATTTGAAACAGGATATTTATAACACACAATGTATTCTAACTGAAGTGTGCTAGCAATTCCCCTTTCCTATAATGTTTTCGAATCTTCGTGATGAATTTTAGTTACAAAGTTGACATTTTGAAATGACATAGGAGTCGTATAATCTATAATCCAGCGAATATCTTCATTCAATAAAATTGAATAGTGTACACGATTTTAAGTACACACAGAAAGTTGCATTCTCCTAATGATTTATTGGCCTTTTTTTTAATTCAAATACAAAAATGTTTGTCGTGAGTATCCTTCAAATATGAATGCTGACGTATTGTTAATTTCATGCATGCATGTTTGATGGGAAGATATTAAAAATGTTGTGAACATAGTTGAGACTACATAAAAAATAAAATATCAAAAATACCGAGCTCCGAGGAAAATTGAAATAGGAAAATATCAAATGGCAATATCAAAAGCTCAAATACATCAAACGAGTGGATAACAAATGTCATATTCCTGACTTGGTACAGGCATTTCCTTATGTGGAAAATGGTGGAAACCTGGTTTTACAGCTAGCTAAATCTCTCTCTTGTAAGTCATTATCATAAAAATTATTTATATTGACAATAAAGTGTGAACAAAACAAACAGACATAGCTTACAGGTCGGTGTGAGCCTATGCTCCGTGTTGAAGGCCGTACTTTGACCTATAATGGATTACTTTTACAAATTGTGACTTGGATGGAATGTTGTCTCATTGCCACTCATACCACTTCTTCTTATGTCTAAATAATAGGTAAAAATGTCAAAAATAGGGTTACAGCAGTCAACATTTTGTTTACATTTTTTTTTGTACTTGTAAACTTATTCACTATAAAACAAACAAATATGTTAACAAAGAAAAACAAAAAGGCATATAGACAAAGCAAATTAGCAAAAACGAAAGACAAGAATCCTAAAATTACCATAGCACAATAACACAATGACGGGATGTATAAGTACCGAGCCACGTCAAATGGATATTACCACAAATAGGATAAACAGTAACATGTGTTCGCTTCAGCTACTTTCTTTTCTAATTTACCAATGTTGATAACAATGAAAGTAGTATCTACATTGGCAAATGTTGCTCTAGTGTTTTACGCAACAAATAGTTTTATTCTACAGCGTACCATGTGTTTCAGACAGATAGATCATGCACACTAAAATTAGTTTCATGCTATTTGTATACTGATTTTGTATAATTCTACAGTACGGTTGATTTAATTACACAATTTGTTTCTTACCTGCATTTCCACTGTAACTCCCAATTGTCAATTTGTACTTGGACGCTGCATCGCCTATCACAAACGTTTTATACAAAGCATACTTCTTCGTATTAGAACTGTCCTTCAGATCTATTCTCAGTTCATATCTACCACTGGATGTCAGGCTGTGAATGTGTTTGTTTCCTTTAATACATATAAAAGACTAAATTTGTAGAATGCAGAAAAGAGATTAATGTTGTCACCTTAAAGTGACAACATAAATTATCCGTTCAATTAGTGTACGGACGCAATCATGATTTATTGAACATTTTCGTTACAGATGACTGTATATATATGCTTCACAACTTGTAGCCAAAATCCCTTCCTGTTTTATCTACTGAGATAACACGAAATGTGAATTATCACCGCATTTTTAACTTCAAAAAGTAACACAACGGTTGTCAATAATATCCCAGCAACTTTCTGCTGCACCCGAATTTCTCCTGAGTTACTGTTTGGGGTCGCATTGTCCTATTTAAAAATGTCTGCTGACTTTGTGATGGGTTGATGTGTGTGTGTGCTGTTTTTGTTTTTGTGTGTTGCTTTTTTCATACAGTTGTCTGTTTTGATCAGAATTGTCGTTTGTGATATTTTCTCTGTTTTTTTTCATTCTTTTGATATATACTTTTATAATTAAAGATTATGTACAGATATGAAAATGACAGCTGTGCAATGAGGCGAAGGGCTATCTGTAATAGGCCTAAAAAAATTTAATGCAAACCACTAAAAAATACCAAAACAGCCATTTATAAATATTGTCACTTATACTTAGATAAGAACAACAGTTTCACCAAAAAATACATTTTGCTTCGAGATGAACTTTACACAAACGTTGTTGTATTAAAATATTTTTTGTGTAAGGCTGTTGTTTATATCAAGTTTGTCCTAATGCTCTGTGTAATTTCTCATTCTTGGTCAAACAGGTAAATTGCAAAATGTTTGTGACAGTACCGTCAAATCAGAAGTCAACTTTCCTCACTAAAATAACCAGATTATATTAGCCTTGTCATTAATCAATACAATTAGCATCATTTTGAAAGGCTTTATGAAGTTCTTATCATTTTGCAATTTCAGCAGCTAAGTAATGACTCTAAAATCATACATTATAATAACGATAATTGTATTTGGAACAGAACAAAGCCAAATCATATTATATCAGGTTAACAATTGTACTTTTTCTTCGTCGACCTTACATAATTTTTTAATACTTCTTTTCAATTCAAATATATTGTGGAAATTTGATAACGCATCTTTGATCTTTTATCCTTATCATTTTCTAAATCATACATTTGTGACAATCGTCCCCATCCAGCGTGTTACAATAGATTGATTTACCTATTGTGTTTGTGACATAGACGGTATGATCTGATTATGCGATTAGGCCCTAACTACGGAAATATATATATTTTAACTCATTTACACTACTTACCCAACCAGTATTCACCGTTAAGATTCCCAAATCCGTTCTCGTAATCTGTCCATGTTCTTTGGAAATCAACTGATCCATCTAATCGTCTTTGGATAATCTAAAAGATACATATATCAAATAGTTTACTTGATTGAATGATAAAATCAGGTAAAACTCAAATTCTAATGCAATTATTTTGCATCAATGATTCTGATTTGATAACCATTGGCGCATTGATTTAATTTACTTGCCTTTTACTAACATGACTAAGGGAGGTTCATACTTGAATTCAGAATGTATTGGCATGGACGTTCTGCAAAAATAATTAACAATTTGCGCATAGAAATCTTCTTAATACATTTAAAAGCGCACAAAAAGCCTAAAAACACCAAGTGTTTAAGTTGGAGTATATTATCCTTAATGAATACTAAAACATATTTCGTAGTTTTTGTATGTCTATACCTTGTGTCCGTTTTGGTTTATAGGCTCATCAGTTTGTTAAATAAGTTTTGTATTTCAAATATTTTGGCCTCAGCCATTTCTAAAGAGACTTGGGTTGTTGAAATGAGCATCTGATGCAGAAAAATTGGTATCGTTAATGTAAAAGAAATGTAAAAGGTTGATTAGTTGCCTATAAGAAACACTTTCGGAGATTTCAGCAACGACCCGTTGAGATATTTACTCAGTTTTGTGCAATATCAACGGTTTCAGAGCAATGGATATTAAATAAAAACTTATTCAGGTTCCTCGGGTTCGTAAGTAAAAGAAATATAAAACCAAATACATTACGGATTACAAAGGTGTCTAGTTAAGTGATTGGATAGTACAAAGAAAATTTAGAATATGTTTAGGAATCAACCGGAGTATATTAAGACGTTTCTTGTCCCGCTTTGAACCTTAACGGTGTAAATCATTTTGTTATTACGTAACTCAATTAACATAATAGTAAATGAATTTTAGAGTCGATCTCACAATGGGTAATCAATGACGAATAAAAATATTTCAAACTGTGTTATGAATATTTTGAAACTCACAGTCCAACCTCCAGCATCTGTTGTCATATCACAATAAACTTTGACTTCAGATTTGTCGGGATATATCTTGTAAACACCAGATTCTGATTTATATTTCTTCAGCTCAGTACAATCCTTCGTTAATTTCATTCCACAGATTCCTGAATCAATGATAATATGAAAAATTACAATAGGTTAAGTAATCAAATGGACTATTTGTCATTTCTTGGCTTTTAATAACTTGTCATGTGGTATGGGTTCTGCACATTGTTGAAGTCCGAACGAAAACCTATAATTGTCTACTTCTATGTCATTTTGTTTCTTGACGACAGTTGTCTTATTGGCAATCATAACCAGGCATGGGGCGAATTACATTGCAATGTAATGCATTATATTACAATTACTTTTGCAAAGTAATGCCTTGATTTACAAATTACATTTGAAAATTTTATTAGTGAATAGAAAAATTAAACATTTTGAAAAACAACTAGAAGTCACAAAAGATTCTAGCATATGCAGTAACTGTTTCATGAATTGAATATAAGTATACATGTAAAAAGTCTATTTAATTTGACTTTTACAATTTGTAATTATTTTAACTTAATGTTAACTTTACTTTTATAAATATATTTTTTGTTGTTTTTTTTTTTTAATTTTAAACGAAATATTTAATTACTGTGAATTACTTCCCTAGTTATGAAATAAACATAGACCTTAATTAATGAACAATTGTCTAAATGGTGAAAATATTGATTGTTAAACAAACTAATTAGTGTTTTATAACAAAGTTTAATTATCTTTTATTTAAGCAAAACAAAGATATTCTTTGATCTTATGACAACAATACAGCTATGCTTTTCATATATCAATCTTTTTATGCAGGAAAATGTATGAAATAAGATGAAATAAAGAATATATTCTAATGATTAATATATCAAGAAATCTTAAATTTGGTTTAGTTAAAACTCCAACAATATGTTAAAGATGTAGTATGTGAAAAAAGTAATGACATGTAATGCCATGTAATGCATGAAATTACACAACTTTTTGCTAAAGTAATGCATTATATTACAATTACATATAATGCACAAATTGCTGCATTAACATTACATGCAATTACTTGGAAAAATGTAATGCATTACCATGCATTACAATTACAAATTTGCATTACCCCATGCCTGATCATAACACATCTTTTTCTTTCTATATGTTCTTTCCTTTTAAATCATATAATTAATCGTACTGAGGTAGCCCGTTAATTTCATTTACAATTGTTTGGATCCATTTGAGTTGATTGTTTTCGGATTGAAGATCTCACGCGAAACATAAATTACTTTCCACAGTTCTGTTATTGGTGTAAAGTAAGCACTGCGCTATTTAATTAAACCAACTTCTAATGTAATTCCTCCCAACATATACCTTATCTTGAAGATGTATGACCGGAATAAACTATGTTTCATCTTATTCATGTTATTTAGATTTTATTCTTTACTTGCCTTTGACGTCCTGTTTTATCAATCTCAATATTCTTGAAACTTGCTTTTCTCCACGTGATTCTAAATTAAAAATATATATATTCTATATTATATAAGATACGCAGTATGACTGTTACCGAATTAAACTTATCATTTTCTGACTATCTATTAAAGGTTTTGCAATTTTGAAGTATTATATTAAAACTAAATAAAGGTTCAATAAATAAATTGAAATTTAGATAAAATAACTAAAGGAATAATTGACCATATATTTTTGCGATCCAAAATCTTGAAAACTAAGTCTCCAACATTTTAAAGGTGTATTCAACAAGGATTTAATCTGTAGATTACAAAGTTTGAACATGTACTCTTCTATTTTTGTGGTCGAATATTACTTTCGTTTGCACGGGTTTGCCTCTTCAATTTAAATAAGGAATGAACTGTATTGCTAGTAAAACAGACAAACAAGAAAATAATGTCATTTTCAATTGTGTACTGGCATGTTGTAAGGTCTTATTCGTGTTGTTATTTTTATTGTTTGTAACTGCGAAATTATCCCTTAACAATACGTTTGATTCATATCATTTCCTTTCCCAGAAATACTCTTTTACTATACGCTGATTTCTCACGTCATTTAAACGTTTTATGGGCTAACTGGATCCCTGCATCTTTGAACTGATAAAGTAATTGTGACTGCTTGACATTTTTCAAACACCTGTCTTTATTCTTATGTACATAATCCAACCCTGCTTTAAGAAATATATCAATTTTATCATTTAAAAAAAGTTATCGAAGCAGTCATAAGGAAGTTATCACCATTAGAATATTCATCCCTTAGCTCAACGTACTGACGTAGATTTTTTTGCCAAAAAAACGCACAAATGACGTCAAATAACGTCACCTAAACCCAAACACTTTGACGGAATGATAACGATTGGAATCAAGCGTATTGAAAAAAGCGTGTATTCACAAATCAAAAGAAGAAAGTATTGTACCTTTTAGAATCCACTTAATTTCAGTCTTAAGTTGTGCATTCAGTTTGACGATATCCTTGTACACTGCCATATCTTGAAATAAAAAAGAAGATTTGAAAATTTATGAACAGTATACCTTTAATAGATATTTCAATAACAACAGCAATTCAATTGACTGTTTCCTTAGCTCAATTGTCCTTTAAAGTTACTATCAATTTTTTTTATTTTTTAACATATCATAAGATTGAGAATGTTCACCTCTACTTACTACTGAGAATAGTCTGTGTATCCCTTTTAAGCTCTTTTGCAGTTTTGTCATTCCTTTCAGTTAAGCATATTCCTGAAGTTACAAGATATCAACATATGAATTTCAATAAAATGCTTCAGATGATTTTGAAAATTTTAGAATGTATTGTTCATTTGATTTTTATGTTATTAAATATACATAAAGGTCGATCAAAAATGTGCAGAAATTATTGTTAAGTTGAGCAATTAAAAGACAAATCAATCGGTCAAACGTTGTCAAATATATATAACATTTTTTTCGATTTTTTTTTTCCCTTTTAAAATGGATTGGCTGATAAGAAAATAATGATCTGTCAGAATGAATCATATTTTTGGCAGAGTGAAACATTTATTTAAACAAAAAACTATCTGTTTACTAAATGGAAGTTTATGTGTATGTTAGTATTGAGTTGTGTTCATCCGTTGATTATATATTGAAAATAATAAACTCCCAATTAGTATTCATAAGCAGTTAATAAATTTTACCTTGTAATTCAAGCAGAATATCGTCTACTCTGGAATCTTCTTCTGATGATTTTCGAGTATTCCGCACTTCTGAAAAAGACAGCATGACGGGTGTCACTAGTTTGACAGATACGGCTGAATTAACCCCTAGTTGTTGGCTACAAAAACAGTTTTCTGTGTTTCCCTGTCATTAATGTATGTTCACATGTGGATGTGTGCGAAAAGGGAAGAACTGGGAAATCATTGAAAATAACAATTTATAAATAGAAAATGCGTGTAAAGTGTTTTTCTCAATTTCATTTAATAATTTAGGTTATACAATTTACATGTAAAGATTTGTTCGTTTTGTTTAATTTGAAATATATAAGAGGAACAGGAATAACTTGTATCAATCTGTTATAATGTGATTCTTTAATAACTATTTTCTGCAGTAGATTTCAAAGGAACGAACATCTTGTGTATTACGAGTGAGGTCGAAACTCAATACGATTTGCTAAATATCTTACTGTTGAATGTTCCTCTTGTCGTGTGTATACGTATTATGCACAAATTTTATAAATGTTTATCATGGTAATATTAAGACTATATACCATGTTGAATAATTGAATAATTTACGCATAAAATATTTTTAGATGAAGCAGGGTTTTCTGGTATTAATCAAAATATTAAAAAAGTCTTCAACTTTTAAGATGTCACCTTTGTGAAAGCTAATTGTTTAAGAATAAAAGTATTCTAAATATCTCACCTATATTTCCTGTTTCTATGGAACAATTAACAGCTAAAAACAAGGCACACAGCAATATCCAATGCATTTTTTTAATATGTTTGTTTCTCAAGTGCTTGATGCAAAGTACTTAATATCGCGAAATCATTTCCGAAAATGATTGCTGATGTAAATATTTTTTATCAATATAGCATGACTTTCACAAAGTTCCATATGTCGCATTTGACATTTGATACTGCATGATTCAACAAAACGGAATATATTTTATTGCAATTGTAAACATTGATCTATATCAAATGTCAGTCAAGGATAATTTCTGACAACTGTAAATTCTTACAAATAGAAAAGATGTCCGACAAGCATTTGTTTACAAGATAAAATAATCTTTGAGTCTCAGTTTAAGGATTTAGCATCACGACTTAATATGACAACACAAATAAAAACAATTAATTTTCAGTCTATGAATTTCTTTTAATAGAAAATAACAAATAGTTCGAACATACTCTTGGAAACGCTCGTTTTGACAATTGACCTCAATTTATTTCTACTGTTAATCTGCCTATGTTAGTATAATTATATATATATATATATATATTGATTTATTCCTTGAGATTTCAACTAAGAGGTACATGATTTTCTTATTATGGTCAAAAACAAAATGGTAACTAGTTCCTATTCCACTAGCTTTAGCAGTCGTGTTGCTCCTGGTCCAGACCAGTTATACGTTTAATTTGGTAATATCATAATCGCAGAAATGAATGAAGACTGTAGGTACATTATATCCGTGCACATCTCTATAGTTATCAAAGTTACCAGGATTATAATAACACATATACTTACTAAAGGTCAGTCAAACCGTAAAACGTCTGCTAAACTTTCGAAGGTTTGAATTCGATGTTTATTGTACAATCCAAAACTGTAGTGGTCTAGCAGTAAACTTATTTGTCAAATAAGGCATTTATATATATATATATATATTTATCAATAGTGTCAATCATTTTGTTATCGGGCCAAGTAAATAAAGTGTTCTAGAGCTCATCCGGTATGTCATAGTCGTAAAAAAGATAATGGATACGAACATATAATAAATGCGTCATCGCCATTGAAAAAATATAAAGATCAACGGTTAACCAAACCATAATAGTGTCCATACAATTTCGTAGGAATATTTCACAATCCAGAAGTACGGTTGTTTCGAACATTAAACTGATATAAAGTATGACTTCTCAAAATATTGAAATGTATAAGGAGAGAGAGAGAGAGACGAGTACTTTCAACTGTTACATAGAGTTGCCGTTATGATGTACGCGGATTCTAAGAAGACATTTTTTTTATCTTCTAGACCCCCCCCCCCCCCCTCACCCCTAAAAAAACAATACATAGAACTGAGACGTTTTCAATATTTTGAACAGATCTAAGCTTGATTTAACATCGATAGTCTATATATCATATATCAGTTCATTAAAAAAGCTTATACAAAGTGTTTGTGTTAATATCAGTTCATCAAACAAGCTTATACAAAGTGTTTGTGTTAATATCAGTTCATCAAACAAGCTTATACACAGTGTTTGTGTTAATATCAGTTCATCAAACAAGCTTATACACAGTGTTTGTGTTAATATCAGTTCATCAAACAAGCTTATACACAGTGTTTGTGTTAATATCAGTTCATCAAACAAGCTTATACAAAGTGTTTGTGTTAATATCAGTTCATTAAAAAAGCTTATACAAAGTGTTTGTGTTAATATCAGTTCATCAAACAAGCTTATACAAAGTGTTTGTGTTAATATCAGTTCATTAAACAAGCTTATACAAAGTGTTTGTGTTAATTTCCACAATACAACAAGCAAAAGAGTGAAAGGAGGATGTATGATAAGATAACATAATATATATAACACTGAAAATTGATACAATGTCCTTGTGTGATTCTGAAAAAAAAACCCTTCCAGTGAAAAGCATTTTGTGTAAAAGAATTACAATTTTAACATTGATTAAAGGCCTAGATATTTTTGCGGATGACAATGTGGTGTGACAGTGTAAGTATCAAATGATATGATTTCAGTTTGAACAACACGTGTCTTGTTATATCCTTCGTTAGGTACTCTTCCCAAATAAAAAAACGTTTTCATAAAACGCCAACTTTACCATAAATTACCATATGTTCAGTAACTTTGTTATTTACAACCTTCAGGAGAAGCAAAACCTGTGGAATATCGTTTCAACTTCGACTTGTTTGCAATTTGTATTACCAAAATGGAATATTGCTACAAACAAGCTGTCAAAATAATTAATTCAACATTGGTTCCGTTTGTAGAGAAGAGACTACTTATTGTTAACTCCCTGGTTTTGGTGAAATATTTTTGATTTATTTGTTTTAACATTATTAACATAAGTAACATCATTTTGTCTTGTAACGTAAAACAGCTTGATAGAAACAACAATCTTAGATGCATGATTTTTTTTATTAGTTGTTATTGGCTTTGAATTAGCTGTCAGTAACTGCGAGTACTCTCATATCTGTACTTAGTGTCTTTTGGTTGTTGGGATGTACAAGTACCCGGCCACGTCCACTCTGTGTTTTTGTTAGATGTTTTTCTGTTTGTATACTGAATGTTATAGTTTGTTCTTATGCTGTACTGTTACAACACTGTCCCGGGTTAGGGGGAGGGTTTGGTGTCCACTAACAAGTTTAACCCCGCCATATTCTGTATGTATGTGCCTGTCCCAAGTCAGGAGCCTGTAATTCATTGGTTGTTGTTTGTTGATATGTTACATATTTTTTTTTTCGTTCATTATTTTGTACATAAATTAGGCTGTTAGTTTTCTCGTTTGTATTGTTTTACATTTGTCATTTCAGGGCCTTTTATAGCTGACTATGCGGTATGGGCTTTGCTCATTGTTGAAGGCTGTACGGTGACCTAAAATTGTTAATTTCAGTGTCATTTGGTTTCTTGTGACGAGTTGTTTCATTGGTAATCATTCCACATCTTCTTATTTATAATAACGCTACCAGTTGTTTCTGCTCCGGATGCGCATTTCGACAATACATGTCTCTTCAAAGAGGCTAAGGGTCAAAATATTTGAAAGTCCTAACTTAACTAAAAAAGATGACGAACTTAAAACTAAAAACTACAAAAAGTTAAGCCGACGGGCAATGAAGAATTTTCAACTGTAAATATGTCACAATTATTCAACAGGATGTAGCAAAAGTGGAGACTGTAGCTACCACCGCATTAAAGTGTTTTAGACCTGTTTTATTGCGCGAACGAAGTATAAAAGAGAGGCGAAAGTTACTAAAGGGACATTCAAACTCATAAGTCGAAAACTTGATTACATTGATGCATCTCAAAAAGTTTACTTGAATCAAAAAACTTGACCAATCTATCCTGACCATAAGCATGATGATGAGATATCGTAGAACAAAATGTGTTCATTTCATACAAAGAATTATGCGAAAACAAAATCAATATAGAATAAATAACATAAACAATGTCTGTAAACTATTGTCTCCTGACCAAAATATAAACTACTGGCTAGCGTTTCACAAAAAATCGTAAGACGATCTTAGATCTCACATCGGTCGTACGTCAAATCGCAAGTTTTTGACCGTTTCATAAACAATCGTAAACTTGTAGAATTTTATCGTAAGTTTGATCGTAAACTTACGAGTGTTAACAGGCAGTCGTAAGTCAAATTGTAGTGATTTAACCTGTTGACAGTTAAGATCAACAATATTACGTTATCTTACAGAAAATTAAGTTCCATTGGATGAACAGAATACATGTATTCATGTTATTTTGTCCCAATCATAAGTAACTGAAATTTTAAATTCCTGAAATAATCGTTAATTTGCTTTTCCTATATTTTAGTTTATTTTGATTGAACTAAAATGAGCACCTTGCTTCAAAAAGTCCAAATATTTGACCATAAAAACTTAGAAGTAATTAAGCTAGCACAGCACTGCCACTAGGGAAAGGGAGATTGGTATAACGTTACGTTCCATGCAACTTGGAACTAAATATTCTCAAAAAAGAAAATCATAAACGTTTATTTACTAGTTCTTTAATCTTTGTCATACACAGTATTAAATACCCCAATTGTGGTGTTTTACACGGAGTTTATGAAGTTAACAATAAATACATATGTCAAGCTAAAATTGCAATCATTCCCTATACACTACAGCGGAGGACGGTGTTCTTTATTTAATAGACTTCTTTGTATATAAATTACGATTATTTGCAAACAAATAACGTCAAGAAATTGAGAAAACAATAATTTATATACATGAATGTAATGGTAGAGTTGTTATGAATCCATAGTTTTAATGTAATTACACCAGTTGCCATGCGCTCTATCAGGTTCACGTTTTCGTTTGAGGTATAAAATGTATGCTTCAACCCCGTACTCAATACCTGCTTTGTTCTTTTTTAATTAAAAACATTTCTATAACTCTAAGTTAATTTGATAATTTACTTTGCCATTATGTGATTGTTTGTGTTAATACTTATAAGATTTCATTTTCAAATTTAGAATGTTGTAGGTATAAAAACTGAAATTTTCAAATCCTAAATATGTTTTTTTCATTTTCAAATTTTTGTTAAGGTGACTCGCATCTTTTTTTTTTAAGCATTCCAGTTGATGGAAGAAAACATTGGAATTTCTCTTATTTTTTTCAAGTCCCCACCTTGAAGAAAGAAAATAAATTCAAGACCCCACTTCCAAAGACATAAAAATTTCACACACCCCCTCCTCATTTCTCAATACTTTTGTTCGTTATAACAAAAAATAAAAGCATACAATTTCTATTATAATCATTATTATTATTATTATTATTATTATTATTATTATTATTATTATTATTATTATTATTATTATATAAAATATTGCATCAGTAGGGGATCTAGAGCTTCATGTGGGTTAATTGTTTGTGACTTCAGGGAACTTTATTTGGATATGCCAGATATGGTCTCATTGACATTTACCACACCTTCATTCCATTTTAGGTCATAAAGGAATAATAGTGTATTCATCAATTAGCTATGATTTTTGCATGTTTGAAATACAGGGTTGCTCAAATCTTTTGAAAACATTTCGATGCCCCCCCCCCCCCCCTTTAAAGTATTAAAATATTGGATACTCCCCTTTC